AAAATGAAGATTTAGATTTTAAGAGGCACCCAGTTTGCGCAGGTAACATTAGACGCATGCCTGCTCCCTCTCCCGTAGCCCCTGGCTTGTCAACGCAACTTCATGACTGAATTGTTCAAGCTGAATTCCTGTGTTTTCCCTTCCATTTTGTTGGCAAGATATCCTAGTGGCTTTCCTCCTGTTAGCAGAATTCATGGTAGAAAATTGGTGAATAATTCATTTTGGTTTTCCTCCTGCTTTGAAAAAAGAAAACTCAGCAGGGCAGAGATATGCAACAGATTATTCCATTTTTGAAATTTTAGCAGAAATAAACAAGATGATTAGTTTAAAATGTAATTCATAGTCAGTGAGTTAAAAGAAAGCCTTGAGTTGCTGATTACAGCTAGCTCAACTAGCCCCCTAAAATGTAATTAGCTTTTGATGTGATTCCAAGTGGCTTCTTTATGCTTAAATTTGCAGAAATTTTCCAATGCTGTTTCAGTATTTGAAATAGTTTTTTAAAGAGTTTACTAGCAACATTGATCTGAATTCATATGCACTACAAGGTAGGTGATGTCTCTTGAGTTTCTGGAGACAATACATATGTATTAAAAGGAGTACGTTAATGGTGTCAACTTTCCTAGTGTTACAGGAAGGTAAGTTGCTTTTAGTTCTGTGGTTTATTTTACTGTTTTAACATATTTGGGTTATAGCCTGTATAAAAAGTCACAGTGAACATTTTTTTTTTTTAATCTAAATAGCTACACTGAGATTGTAACTGAAAAAATTATTCTTTATTCTTTCCTTTTGTCAACACGGTATTTCAAGTCTAGAAAATATAAGGAACTATGGGGCTCCTGGGTGGCTCAGTTAGTTAAGCGGCTGCCTTCGGCTCAGGTAATGATCCCAGGGTGTTGGGATCGAGCCCCGCATCAGGCTCCCTGCTCTGTGGGAGGCCTGCTTCTCTCTCTCCCTCTGCCTGCCGCTCTTCCTGCTTGTGCTCTCCTGCTCTCTCTCTGTCAAAAACATAAATAAAGCCTTTAAAAAAAAAAAAGAAAGAAAGAATATATAAGAAACTAGGGCACTGGCTGACTCGGTTGGAAGAGCATGCAACTCTTGATCTCAGGGTCGTGAGTTTGAGCCCCATGTTGGGTGTGAAGGTCACTTATATAAATAAAAACACTTAAAAAAATATAAGAAACTGAGGACAGTTTGCAGGGCAAGGCCCAAATGTAAACTTAATAATTAAAATTAAATTTGCCACATTAGTGGGGTGCCTGGGTGGCTCAGTCGGTTAAGCGTCTGACTCTTGATCTCAGCTCAGGTCTTGATCTCAGGGTCTTGAGTTTTAACCCGGAATTGGGCTCCACACTGGGTATGGCGCTTACTTTAAAAAAAAAAAAAAAATCCACATTAGCATTTGCAGCTATTCCATGGTCAAGCTGCCGTTAGACATAACAAAGTATTCCTGTTGCATTTCTGTTGCCTAGTTAAGAAAAAATAGTTTTTATTATGGATAATAACAAATACATGCAAAAGTAGAGCAGATGGCATGAAGAATCACTACAGACCCATTACCCGGTTTCAACAGTTGTAGCTCATGGCCGATCTTGTTTCATTCATACCGCCACCCACTTCTGTGCAACCTTACCCTCAGTCCATCATTTTGAAGCAAATCTCAGATTTGCATTTCATATGCATATATTTTTTAGTATGTATTTCTGAAAGCTAAGGATCCTTAAAAAATATAACCACAATACCATTTATCGCACTTTAAAAATTAACAAGGATTCTCGAGTTTTTTCCTGCTCATAAGTGGTTTTCATAATGGATTGTTTGAATTAGTACCTAAACAATATCTGCACTTTGTTTGATACGCCTCTTAGGTCTCATCTGACTGACAGATGCCCTCTTCTTTCTTCCCGTTTTGCCCTCTGCCCCTGTCACCCCTCTTACAATGTCTTTGTGGGACAACTGGCCATCATTTGTTCTGTGGAATGGCAACATTCTGGATTTGTCACATTGCGTTCCTGTGGTGTCCTGTAGCAGGTTTTGGCTTTTTCTGTATTTGATGTAAACTGGTGATAAAGGGCTTGATCAGATTCAAGTTTGATTTTCTTTCTTTCTTTTCTTTTTTTGGGGCGGAACAAGACTACTTCATAGGTGGTGACATATATCTCCATCAGGAGGACATCTGGCTATTAGTCTCCCTTTCTGTGATGTTAAAATTGGTTAGTCAGTTCTAGGCACCTGATGTAGCCTGATCCATCCATTATGAAGTACCCTATTAGCTTTCACCTAATTATTTTAGCAGCCATTTATAATCATTGCTGGTAACTAGTATATCAAGAAGGAAAGATACCATTTTTTAAAAGTAATTTTTAAGACCTGGAGAGTAACTGAGTGACAAAACGTTGTGATTTTCCTGTTTGATGGTTCCACCTTCTTTAAAGCCAAGTCACAGAGAATCTTCCTTTAGCTAACAAGCAGATTGTGTCAGCTTAGAAGCTCTGTGAAGAAACAAAGTCCAAAGTAACCCAGTCATCTTCCTGTGAAGTTGGCATTCTCTCATGAGACAATTTCTCAGCCCCCAGGCTAAAAGGGATGAGGCAGTGTTTTTGTTTTGATTGTTGTTAAATAATAAAGCTTGGACTTCATTAAGCTTTCAGTGTGTACCACAAGATTTGTACATTAACATTTTATTAAAAATACCAGCAGAGAGGAAAAGAGTTGGAAAACACCACTGAAGTATCCCTACTCCTGGAGCGCCTGGGTGGCACAGTTTGTTAAGCATCCGACTCTTGGTTTTGGCTCAGGTTGTGATCTCGGGGTTGTGATCTCGGGGTCATGACATCAAGCCCCGCCTTAGGCTCCATGCTCAGCTCGGAGTCCGCTTGAGATTCTCTCTTCCTCTCCCCCAGCCCCTCTCGCTTGTTCTTTCTCTCTCAAATAAATAATAAATAAATCTTAAAAAAAAAAAAAAGTATCCCCACTCCTTCAACCTATTTCTCTGTTGGGGTTTGAGATTCGGGACAGTGAGTAGTCCCCACCCCTAAGCCTCACCTGGCCATCATTGATGATTTGTAACTGCCAACCTTGGAGGGAGAGGAGGGAAGGGAAGGAGATCAGTTGGGAAGGTCTGGGAAGGGTGTTCCCAACCAGTAGCTACTTGTGGGGAGGAATTCAAGGTGAAAGAACTCTTCATATTAGAAGCTAACTAGAAATGATTTGATCTAACCCCTTTGCCAATCCAAGAATCCCTCCAAAAGAATCTGTCGGAAGACTTCCCTTCACGCTCTGCACTGTCATGGTGTTCATCTCATTCTGCTTCTTTGATTGTGTATATCTTGTTTTCACTATTGGGTTATGCATTTTTTTTTGAGGACAAGGAATTTATCTAATTATTCTATTTAATCCCATATAGGGTGTCAAACAGAAACATGGCTGGCCATCCGTTGAAACCGTGAAAATAAATTTCATTCAGTAACTGCTGTTAAGCGGGGGCAGGAGGGAGCTGAGCGCTATTCTGATTTGCGCAGAAGTGATTGGGCATTTTATTTTATTTATTTATTGTTTAAGATTTTGTTTATTTGTTTGACAGAGAGATAGCGAGAGAGGGAACACAAGCAGGGGCAGTGGGAGAGGGAGAAGCAGGCTTCCCACAGAGCAGGGAGCCCGATGCGGGGCTCGATCCCAGGACCCTGGGATCATGACCTGAGCCGAAGGCAGATGCTTAACGACTGAGCCACCCAGGCGCCCCGCCCTGATTGGGCATTTTAAAGGAAGAGTGAGAGTAGCGGGGTAAGCCGGGGCTCAGAAGAGGCTGAGAAGTGAAAAATTACAAAGGAACCGTTGTCCAAGTGCATTTAGGCTGGCTGTGTCTGCTGGCTGGCAGTTATCATCTTACAGACACTGGGAGACAGGCCCTGTCCTTCCTGATGAGGACATTTTAAAGGAATGGCTCTCAGGTCCTTGAGAAAGACTTGTGAGTCGTGGGAGAGACATATTCACAATTGTCAGCCCTTTTTAGAAATGCTCTAAGACAGGGAGGTCAGAGGCCCTTTGTCTGGTACTGGCTAGAACCAACAGTCAGTTCTCCTTGGCAGCATTGTGCTTTCTTAGGGAAGAGTTCTAATGGGGGCCAGGATCATCCTAGGGATGCGCCTCATGCTGCTAGAAGCCATGCTGGAGCTTGGTGTCTACTAGAGCACAGGTTTGGGTGAAGTTGGTTATGTGCTGATAGTTCTGCAGTTCTCAAGGGTCTAACCACTACTTAATGGATTTGTGTTGGCCGAACATATTTAAAGAATTTCAGTTTCCTCTACCCTGAAAGGAACGGGGTCAGCTGGAATGCCTTTCACCTTCCCTTAGTGGCTAGACACAGCCAGAAAACAGGAGCCTCACCTGTGTTCGTTATCTCCCTTCCCTGGGTCTGTCTGTTCTCCTTGGCAGGACGATAGCCGTCCTTCCCTTCTCTTGAAGGCTAGCCCCTTTACTTGGGACTAAGAGACTTCATTTCCCTACCGCAGATGCTCTGATTTTTTTGAAATAATTCAGTATGATCAGTCTGTTATAAACATGATTAAATATTTTACTATCTACAGCAGTTTTCTGGGCACTATGAAAAAAAGGAGAGTTTAAAGGTCTGTCTCTTACCCAGGGAATCATACCTAGCAGAACAGCATTTCTGTCACATATTTTCATCAAACTTTTCCTTCTTGGCATTTATCTCAGGATGTAATGTATTTATTTATATGATAATTTTTAAATATATGTCATGGGAACTCTTGTCTTTGTTCACCATTGAAAGGCCAGCATCTGCCAAAGTGCCTGGAACTGTTAAATATATTCCAGAATGATCTATTTAATGATGAAATGAACGGGTGGCTTTCCATCTTACCTTGTCTTTTCCAATAACACCAACAGTATGCAATGCTATTTAATTAAACCATGGTAAATGAATGTTTGCAAAGTATCATGGACCTTGAGTTGTGTTTCAGTGACTCTTCTTCTCTTTGTAGGTTCCTTACCTATTCCTACCTCTTGGCCTTCAACGTGTGGCTTCTGCTTGCACCTGTTACCCTATGCTATGACTGGCAGGTTGGCAGTATTCCTCTGGTAGAGACCATATGGGACGTGCGGAACTTAGCCACCATCCTTCTGGCAGTTGTCATGACCTTATTGAGCCTTCATTGTTTAGCAGCCTTCAAGGTAATTTTCTTAAAATCCAACCGAACTCTCTGCATTTGAAGAGAGATGCTCTGTACTTGGTGACGCCTTCCCCACCCCGCGCCCCCACGTGGTCTAGGTCTAAATTGAATCTACTCTTTTGTCTAAAAAACTAAAAAAATTTAAATTTTTCCAGGTGAGTCATACATATTTTAAAGACCCTCGTGGAGTTAGCAGATCACGGCCACCTTAATTATATGGTATCTTTCACTGTGCTATACCAACCCTGTAGAAATTGGATCTGAAATTTAATGTTTGCAAATAAGAATTTTTTTTCCTGCTATAGTTGACTAATTTTTGCAGTAACTTGTTTGGTTTCATGTAATGATAAATGAGATCATGATAATATATTCGTAAGTGCTTAAAACATGGTTGAGATGCTACTTCCACTAAGGACTGCCTGCCTGACTGGGTGGGTTGGGTGATTCTTCCTTGAAAAAAAAAAAAGAATGGTATAAAACCGGAAAAAAATTATTAGATGCAGCAGTTTCAAGAATGACCAAAGACAGCAAAGAACTTGAAAATGTTTACTTAGGAAAAACTGCTACTGCACTGGGGAAGATGCTTCTTGCTTGAGGGGATTCCCATCCCCCCACCCTCACATATACCCCCTCCCCCGCCCAGCCCAGCTGGTATGAAGAGACCCACAGGTTTACTAGTTAGAGGCCGATTTGGTTTGGGAAAGTAGCAGAGCAGCAAGAAACTTCAGGGGGAACTTTTGGAAACAAGAGAGCTGTGGAAGGGCTGAGATAATAGGCTCTGCATGCATTCATGGCTGGCTGCTGAACAACATGGGGCTCCCCAGGGAGCACAAGCAAAATTGAAAGCTTGGGGAGACTTACTTATTTCCTACAAATCTGAATGAATTTTTTCACCCATACACAGGTTGGGCAGCAGAGAGGGGAGGCTTCATTGGCTTGAGTTGTCGTTGTATAACTATTGTTGAAATCATTGGCTGGTCAAAAAGCTGTGCAGGTGCAAGAGAGATTCCCCCAGAGATTCAGGCAAAAGGGGGCAAAAAGAAACCTGAGCAAAAATTTCAGCTCTCTACAGAGAAACAGATTCTTCATTTTGAGTCTAGGCAAGTTCATTATACATTAAAACAGTAAAACCAGCAAATTTCAGAACACAATGGAATACAGAGGCAGTACAATGTATGATACACAAGGCTTAGTTTTTAATCAGATTACTGAATATGTAAAGAAACAGGAGAGTGTGACTGAAACTCGGGGCGGGGGGAGATAGTAAATAGAAAACAGAATAGAATTAAGAATCCAAAAGTAAGCTCACATTTACATGCTCTATTGATTTTTGGCAAAGTTACCAAGATAATTCAGTGGGGAAGGGATGGTCTTTTAAATAAAGGTACTGAAATAATGGAATATCTATAAGGAAAAAATGTGACATTTAACCCTTATGTCATACTGTACACTGAGAAATTAATTCTAAGTGGATTGCAATCCTAAACAAAAGAATTAAATAATACCAAAAACTCTAAAAGGAAACAGGAGAAAAATCTTTGTGGGCTTGGGTTAAGCAAAGATTTCTTAGGACTCATAAAGTACAGACTATAAAAGAAAAAGATGACAGATTAGACATCATTAGAATTAAAAATTTTGCTCATCAGGGGCGTCTGGGTGGCTCAGCTGGTTAAACCTCCGACTCTTGATCTCAGCTCAGGTCTTGATCTCAGGGTCATGAGTTCAAGCCGCCCATAGGCTCCACTTAAAAAAAGGTGTTCGATTGCTCATCAAAAGATAATGTTAGGGGCACCTGGGTAGCTCAGTCGGTTAAGTGTCTGCTTTCGGCTTAGGTCATGATCCCAGGGTCTTGGGATCAAGCCCCGCATTGGGCTCCTTACTCAGTGGGGAACCTGCTTCTCCCTCTGCCTGCTACTCGCCCTGCTTGTGCTCTCTCTCTGTCAAATGAATAAATAAAATCTTAAAAAAAAAGGATGATGTTAAATCACTCAAAAGGCAAGTCACAAACTGGGAGAAGGTATTTGCAAAACATGTATCTACAAAGGAGTTGTATCTGGGACATTTAAAGAGCTCTTAAAACTCAGTAATAAGACAAATACTCATTAAAAATGGGCAAAAAATTCAAACAGACACTTCACAGAAGAAGATATGCAAAGGTTAATAAACATATAGAAAGATGCTTAGCATCATTAGTCATCATGGAAATGCTAATTAAAGCCCCAAAAAGAAATCTCTGCATACCCACCAGGATGACTGTAATTAAAAAGATTCACAATACTAAGTGTTGGCCAGAATGTAGAGCAACTGGACCCCTTATACTGATGAGGGTTGAAAAATAGCTCGGCCACTTTGGAAAAATTTGGCAGTTTCTTAAAAAGTTAAATATGAAAATAAGCAATTCTACTCAATATCTACCAAAGAGAGATAGAAACTTCCGTCCATACAACATACAAGAGTCTTGTAAGTATTCATAATAGCTGAAAAATGGAAATAATCCAGTAACCTCAAAATATAAATGGATACACTTAATATGGTAAATTATTCAGAAATGTAAAGGAACAAATAATTTACTTATACATGAAAAAACATACATGAACCTGAAACCTAAGTAAAAGAAGCCAGATGGGCGTGCCTGGCTGGCTCAGTAGGTGGAGCATGTCACTCTTGCTCTCGAAGTTGTAAGTTCGAGCCCACGTTGGCTGTAGAGATTACTTAAAAATAAAATCTTAAAAAGTCAGACATATAAAATTACATAATGTATGATTCCATTCATACAAAATTCATTCATACAAAATGTCTGTTACTTTAATTCTGCCTTTTCTAGAATTGCCCAGAAATGCCTAGAGAAGGCAGAATTATGTCAGAAAATATGTGGGTTGGGGAGTGGGTATAAACAGACTTAAGGGAACTTTAGGGGATGTTGAATGCTTTTAAAATTTAATTGTGGTGGTGGTTGCTAAATGACAAATGTTTACCAAAACTCACCAAAATATACACACAAAATGGGGTGAATTCTATTATATGTGGGCTATATCTCAGTAAAGCTATGTTTATTAAAAAGATTAAAATGTTACAAAGAGATTAAAGGCTAGAATAAATACAGAACTGACATTTGAATATAAAATACAAACATGTGATCCTGAAAATTTGATGAAAAAAATTTTTGAATGACTAAAACCTTTTTTATTAAGGAAAAATTCATGTACAATTAACCATTTTTTTTAAAGATTTTATTTATTTATTTGACAGAGAGAGACACAGTGAGAGAGGGAACACAAGTAGGGGGGGTGGGAGAGGGAGAAGCAGGCTCCCCGCGGAGCAGGGAGCCCAATGCGGCGCTCGATCCCAGGACCCTGGGATCATGACCTGAGCCGAAGGCAGACGCTTAACGACTGAGCCATCCAGGCGCCCCTACAATTAACCATTTTAAAGTGTACAGTTTAGTGGTACTTAATGTATTCATAATGTGTAACTACCAGCTCTCTCTAATTTCAAAACCTTTTCATCACTTCATTAAAAAGACCACATACCAATCACTCCCAACTCTCCCCTTTCCATCCCCAGGTGACATCTAATCTGCTTTCTGTCTCAGTGGATTGGCCTCTTCTGGATATATCATATAAAAAGAATTATACAATATGTGACCTTTGTGACACTTTGCATAATATTTTTGAAATTCATCCAAGTTGTAGCATGTATCAATACTTAGTTCCTTTTAGTGGCTGAATAATATTCCATTGGATGTGTACACCGTAATTTGTTTATCCATTCATCTGTTTGTGGACATCCATGTCATTTCCACCTTTCTGCTGTTATGGGCATTGCTATATTACATTTGTGTATAGGTTTCTGCGTGGACATATGTTTTCATTTCTTTTGGATATATACCTAAGACTGAAACTGCTGGTCATATGGTAATTATGTACTTAACTTTTCGAGGAACTATTTTTCATATTGGCTGTACCATTTAACATTCTCACCCAGAGTATATAATCGTTCCTATGTATCTAATCTTTGGTAATACTTGTTCTTTTCCATTATTTTGTTTAAAGCCATCCTAGTAGGTGTGAAGAGCTGTATCTTTGTGGTTTTGATTTGAATTTCTTTAATGAGCAATGATGAACATCTTTTCATGTGCTTATTGGCCATCTGTATATCTTCGTTGGAGAAATGTGTATTCTAGTCCTTTGCTCATTTTTCAGTTGGGTTGTCTTTTTGTTGTTGAGTTGTAAGAGTTCTTTATATATTTAACATATTAGATCCCCAACAGATAAATGATTTGCAGATATTTTCTTCCATTCTTTAGATTGTCTTTTCACATTCTTGATAATGTCCTTTAATGCACACAAGTTTTTAATTCAATGAAGTGCAGTCTCTTTCTTTCTTTCTTTTTTTTTGTTTTGTTTTGTTATTCTTCATTGCTTTTGTTGTCAAACCTAAGAATCCGTTACCAAAGCTGAGGTCATGAAGTTTTATGACTATTTTGTTCTAAGAGTTTTATAGTTTAAGCTCTTATATTTGGGTCACTGATCCGTTCTGAGTTATTTTTGTATATGTAGTGGTATGGAAGTCCAGCTTCATTTTTTGGCTGGTGGATATCCACTTACCATATTTTGAAGAAACTATTTTTCCCCCCAACACCTTACTTAAAGTATCCACTTCTTAATCATTTTGTAAATCAGGTTGATAAGACAACTATGATATGAATAATCATCCTCAAGAAAATCTAGTGTGCCATAAACTTGAGCTCAAATTTCACCTTCTTAGTAAAGCCTACCATATGTACCCTATTTGTTTATTTATTTATTTATTTGTGAGAGAGAACGAGAGAGCAAAAATGGGGAAGGGTGAGAGGAAGGGAGAGGGACAAGCAGACTCTGCGCTGAGCTCAAACTCAGGACCCTGAGATCATGACCTGAGCCGAAACCAACAGTTCGATATCAACCGACTAAGCCATCCAGGTGCCCCCATATGTACCCTATTTAAAATGCAAACATCTAC